TGATGTACACTTGCCTCTGGCAAACAGAGCTCACCTTAGAAAATGCTACCAAGAAGCCATGTTCTTTTCTGTCTAGTATTATTTCCCAAACTCAGGTTTTAAGTGGATTTAACTGTCCATGTTGCCACCAATTATTGGCAGAAGTTTCTGTCCCACCCAGTCCCACAGATGTTCAGCCCCAAAGAAACACACAGAGGTCTATATTAATTATAAACTGATTGGCCTATTAGCTCAGGCTTCTTGAAACTGTTATACTTATATTAGTCCATAATTCTTGTCTGTGTTAGCCATGTGGCTTGGTACCTTTCATCATCTAGTGTGAGGCCTGGGAAAATCCCCACACATGCTGGTCTATCAGTTGATGTTTTCATTCTTTAAGACTCTTAGGCAATCAAGTTGTTGAGATTTTGTGGGTTCAGTTTCCCTCACATAAGAAGACATAATGCCCCATAATCCATCTGACTCTGACTCTTCCCCTCTGATGGAGGAGGGTCTTCTGTCTATGTGTTACTTTCATTGGTTAATAAAGAGACTGCCTTGGCCTTTTTGATAGGTCAGCCCTTAGGTGGGTGGAGTAGACAGAACAGAATTGTGGGAGAAAGAAAGCAGAGGCAGGCAGACACTAGAGCTCTCCTCTCCAAGATGGACACAGGTTAAGATCCTTCCCGGTAAGCCACAACCTCATGGTGCTACACACATTAATAGAAATGGGTTAATCAAGACGTGAGAGTTAGCCAATAAGAGGTTGGAACTAATGGGCCAAGCAGTGTTTAAATGAATACAGTTTCTGTGTAATTATTTCAGGGTAAGCTATCCAGGATCCGGGCGGGAACGCAGCCCGCTCCTTCCTTTTACACTCCTCTAAGAATTCTTTCTGATCTTTAGGTGGAAGGGTCACACTGTGCATGTACCAGGTGGGGTGGGCACTCCATAGTCATGTTTTCTCTGACCACTTATTGATTTCTCTGCATGATAAATCTCTTCATGTACAATGTCTGTTACTTGAAGAGAAAAATGTGAAGTTTTCTGCATTACAAAAAAAGTCCTCAGAGATTTTCTATTCTCTGGGATGTAAAAAAAGAAAGTGTTAACCATTTTATTTACCAAAATTAGTGTTCATGTTCTCATGTTTCTTCCACTTGCTCCTCAAATGCTAAAATCCAGCCATGGTCCTGATCTATGATGGATGTTTATTGTACATCTGTTCACACAAGGCCCTATGCTCATCACAAAAATGAAAGGAGATAATATTCCCACTCTACAAATATTTTCTGAATGAAAAGTATGCTCTTATTTTATTGAATTTTTCATAATATGTTCTGAGTATAATAGTTAGATCATTACAAAATGCCTCTCAGAATAATTTGTCCACAACTAAAAGTTTTGGTTTATTAATTGACTTCACTCTGATAAACAAACACAGACATTGTTCCTGTGGCACTGCAGCGAGGACTTCTGGAGGACTTTGTCTTCTCTTAGATTTGCATTGCTTGGTTTCATCTTGAGATTAAAATATATCTACCTTCCCTTTCCCTCCTCCAAAGCCACATTCTACTCTTTGTTCCCTTTAAATTCATGGATTCATTTTTGTTGTTGTTGTTGTTAATCCTTGTTATGTGTGAGACAGACTGACAAATATACCAAGAGAGACAGAGAGGGATACAAGATATAAAGATACACAGATGATAGTTAGAACCTGCTTCTATTTTGTCCCTGAAACACATCTATATAGGCATTGGAATATAATTCATAAAGTTGTTAAATGAAGTGATACTGGATAATAAGATTTTTCTTATGAAGTACTTATTGCCCTTGTTAGGTTGCAAAGAGTACACAGGACAAAAATATAAGCAGACTGTGTCCACTTCATTTATAACACTTTTAGCTTGTTTGTTTTGGAACAAGATGCTATTGTTTTTCAGGGAAGCTTTAAAATTTTTGCACTCTTTTCAGAATCCTGTGTACTGGGAAAACAAGCATTAGACAAAACACCTGGCTGATTTTGGTTTTTGTATTGTTGACACAATTGTAAGTTTAGTCAACAGGAAACTATGTATAGAGAAAAAACAAAAAATATGTATAGAGAAAAAAAGACTGCAATCATATTGTTTAAACAGCATGCATTAATTTGTTAAGATCTCTTCTTCATATTAAGGTTTATAACAGCTTCGTGCCACAGGTCTCTAGAGAAATTCTAAGAACCTTTCCGTCATTGTGACACTTTAGGAGCCGAAATTTTTAGCTACATTTCCAAAAACAGCTCAGTTCTCAAGTGCGCATCAGCTGCTGATTGCCCTGCAGGCCAAGTTGTGGTTACTGTGTTCATTCCACAGCTTCCTGTGCCCTAAACATTGAATGCTGCTGTAATATTTGACCTAAACGTAACATCGCAAATGGAAGGAAAGGCAAGAGTTCACTGGGAAAGCAGGGATGACGTAGAAATTGATGAAAAAGGGTTTTACTCAATTCATAAAAAGGGGAAATCCGTATTTTAGTACAGCATCTTGGAGAATTCTTCGGAAGGAGGAACCAAGAGCATGAAGGTGCTGAGATGATCCAGCCTTATAAACTACTCTAGCTAGGACTTGGGACAATCCCTGCACTTTCTCATTACACAGAGACTAGGAAGCAAATGATAAAGCTACCTCTCCCCGGAGTTGACAATTAACCCAAATTTTCCTTCTCAAAATCCCCTAAAGATGTCATTGCCCCCAGACAGCAGAAAATAAATTTAAAATATGAAACTCATTCTCAAAAGGTGGGATGGGTGTTTTCTTGGTCATTCAATGGGTTGATGTGGGGTGTCCTTCTGTATTTGTGTTTCTTTATTGGGTGATGAATAAAGCTATTTTGGCCAATGGCTTAGCAGAGAAAAGCCAGGTGGAAAATTCAAACAGAGATAGAGAGAAAGTAGGCAGAGTCAGGGAGACACCATGTAGCTGCCAAAGGAACCTAATATCAGAACCTTACCCAGTAGGCCACAGCTTCGTGGTGATACACAGAATAATTAATTTAATATGTAAGAGTTAGTTAATAAAAAGCCTAAGCTAATAAGCCATGCAGTATTCTAATTTCATTGGTGTGTGATTATTTGGGTCTGAGCAGCTGGGAAACAAAAGCACAGTCTTTGCGTACAAAATGGCATGCCAACATGGACTAGATCCACATAAAACCTTGGGAAGGAATTCTAGACACACACACACACACACACACACACACACACACACACACACCAGAGTTAAGCACAGCTTCATGGTAGCAGCATTTCCTTGGGGCTCTGTTTGCTAGAAGCAAGCAGTGGCATGATTTCTTTAAGAGAAGGCTTCCTGACTCAGCAATAGCAGCAAAACCTGCACAGCTCTGTTAATGACTTCCTGGTTCGTCTTGGTAGCAAGAATGAACTCTGGGTCTTTGGGGAGGTCTTGCACTTAAATGGAATAAATTGGATTTGTGAGCAGTGTGCTACAAGTTGCTTATTGGCAACACAGACCTGCTGTGGCCTTGGAGTTGGGGAAGTAAGCAGGGCTCACAGAGGTGGTGAAGATGCCTCCACCATGTTGGACTGAGAGAAGCAAACAAATCTGAACAGAGACATAGAGTAGGTGGAGTCAAGGAGACACCATGTAACTACCGAAGGACCTCCATGCCAGAACCTTACCCATTAAGGGTATACACAGAATAAAAATGGTTTAATTTAAGATGTAAGTGTTAATAAGAAGCCTGAGCCACTGGTCAAGCAGTGCTGTAATTAATATAGGTTCTGTATGATTATTCGAGTCTGAGAAGCTAGGAAAAGAAACAAAAGAACAATCTCCACTTACAATGAGTTATGGATAATTGTCATTTGGGGGGGGTTGGTTATAAGTTGTTATTGGTTACAATCAGAAGAAGAGTTAAATAAAGTTGATTAGATTTAGGGTTCTTGTTTTGAAAAGAAAAAGGTAGGATATAGATATAAGATAACAAGGTAGTGCTATAAAACAAAAATATTATACAGTAATTACTCAGCCTTTTTTTCATGAGGTTAACCCATCAGAGTCAGGGATTCTCTTTTGGAAGAATAAACCAAGATGCAAGGCATGTTGTCATTATTGCCTTCTGAATGAATAAAGTGGATGTTCCTTGCTGTAAGATTTCTCAATGTAGCTATTCCCTTTCTGTACAATCTTGGGATTCCCACAGTTCAGCACTATTTGAGCTATGTGTGAAGACAGTCACTTAGTTTGCTTCTTACTACCAAGTCTTTGCTCCTCTCTCCTATGTAAACACAGATCTGCTGTCATACAATTATCTCTAGTGACAGATATTTGGTCAGCATTCAGGGTCCAGGAAAAAGCATTCTATTTAAGATGTTCGCAAGTATCCAAGGACATAGAATTACTACTTGCAAAAGTTATTAATTCATAATTGCTCACATAGAAACCTTATGAGTGTTCCCCTAGGGGAGTTTCTCAGCAGAGCTGCCATTGTTTCTTTCCTCCATTTCACTAGGGAGGTTCTGATCCACTCCAGAGACAGAAGGTCTTTACCCAAAGTTCACTCAAGAGATTTATCTGGGAGGGAGGAATCCAGGAGAGTGACTGCCTCTGCCAGTGTAGAAAAGAGCAGCTGCTAACTCAGCAATCACAGGGCTTCTATAGAGTTGCTTAGGGCAGAGATTTTCCAGGGATAATATTATCAGGGTAGGAATTGGTCAGACTTCAATTGTTCAGTTAAAACAAGTTCAGAGATTGGCTGGATTTCATGTTCAGGGATTGGTTGGTTTCAAACATATGGAGTGATTGATTTTGTGTTCAAGTGGTCAAAAGTAGAGTGTGATTTTTTTACTGGCTCTGGATTCAGGGGCAAAGCGTGTTTCCTTGGCCCTGGTTTCAAGGTTAAAATGTATTCCTATGGCTAACCTTTTAGCCTATACTCAAGGTATCAAAAATTCATGAATTCACATTTTCTATGAGTTTCACAGTGTACACAATATAAAAACAGACATCATAATCCTTGAAGAGATTGTTGACACTGTCAATTTATTTCTAGAGAAAAATTACTGTTGCTTAACTGATTGTAAGTTGTAGCACAATTTCTAATTAATCTCAGTAATATAAACCTGGACTCAGATATCAGGGTAAATGCTGAAAGATCACAGAAATAAAGGGGCGAGCCATCAGAGATGCCATTTACCTGTACCGAATCCTCAGAACACAGAGTATTTGTAGACCCTGCCTCTATAAATACTCAGTCTTAATGGGCTGATCTCCTTTCTCCTCCTGCCTTATGCTCTTCTCTCTACCAAGTCATTTATCATCCTGGTTCCACCTCCCTCATGCTAGAATTAATGGCACGTGGTTTACAAATTCCAATATTAAATATGTGAGCCACGACTGCCTTGGTGTTTCTCTTTTAGAGTGGTCAATCTAGTGTACCCAAGGTGGCCTCAAAATCACAGAGAACCACATGCCCCTGCCCCTTGACTGCTGGGATTAAAGGTGTGTGTCACCACTGCCTGTGCTCTGTGACTAACTACAGTCTGTCACAGCACTCTGACCTTCAGGTAAGCTTTACATGTTAAAGCACAAACAAAATATCAGCACAGTAAAAATATTGGCTAAAAAGACATCAGCATCCTTTCTAGGTAACAATGACAATTGTAACACACAAAGTCGTTATCAAATTGAATGTACACAAAAATTTTATGGCTGAAAACCTTTTTGAAACTGAGGACATTTATGGACTTTCAAAATTGGATGACTTTTTCTCATGATTTTGAAGACTGCACTGATGAAATCCAAAAGATTTCTCTCAAGTATGTGTTCTTTTATGCATTTGAAGATGACTATCATGATTAAAAAGGTTTAACCACATTGATTAGTTTTTCTCCAGACTGTTCTTTATGCCTTGAATATAACTGTGATCAGTAAAGGCTTCACCACACTGACTGCATTCAGAGTTTCACTCAAGTATGAGTCCTTTTATGCATTTGAAGAAGAATGTAATGGCTTTACCACACTGATAACATTTCGAGGGTTTCTTCCCAGTATTCGTTCTTTTATGCCACTGAAGATGACTGTTATTTGCAAAGACTGTAAGACACACATTACATTACATTCATAGGCTTTGACTCCACTATGTGTTTTTTTATGCATTCCAAGAACACTTTGACATGCAAAGGCTTTACCACATGGACTACATTCATGGGGTTTCTCTCCAGTGTGTGTTCCCTCATGATCTTGAAGAGAACTATGACATGCAAAGGCTTTACCACACTGCTTTCCTCATAATGTTTCTCTCCAGTTATGTGTTCTTTTATGCTTTCGAAGAGAGCTTTGACAAGAAAAGGCTTTAACTTCACTGATTAAATTTATAAGGTTTCTCTCCAGTATGTGTTCTTTCATGACGCTGAAGATGACTAAGACGTCCAAAAGGTTTACCACACAGATTACATTCATAGGGTTTCTTTCCAATATGGGTTCCTTCATGCATTTGAAGATGCCTGTGATAATGAAACATTTTACCACACAGACTACACTCATAGGGTATTTTTCCAATATGTGTTCTTTTATGGACTTTAAGCTTATATGGAACTGAAAAAGCTTTACCACAGAGATTACATTCATGGGGTTTCTCTCCAGTATGTGTTCTCTTATGAATTTTAAGATTAAATTTATATGCAAAGGGTCTACCACACAGATTACATTCATAGTGTTTCTCTCCAGTATGTGTTCTTTCATGACGCTGAAGATAACAAGGACGTCCAAAAGCTTTACCACACAGATGACATTCATAGGGTTTCTCTCCAGTATGTGTTCTTTTATGCCTTCGAAGAGAGCTTTGACAAGAAAGGGCTTTACCACACTGATTACATTCATAGGGTTTCTCTCCAGTATGTGTTCTTTTATGACTCTGAAGATGACTAAGACGTGAAAAGGCTTTACCACACAGATGACATTCATGGGGTTTCTCCCCAGTATGGGTTCTTTCATGTATTCGAAGACGACTGTGATAATGAAACCTTTTACCACACAGACTACAGTCATAGGGTTTTTCTTTAGTATGGATTTCATTATGGATTTTAAGTGTATGTTGAACCGCAAACGCTTTACCACACAGATTACATTTATAGGGTTTTTCTCCAGTATGTGTTCTTTTATGACTTTTAAGAGAATTGTGACGTGCAAAGGCTTTACCACACTGATTACATTCATAGGGTTTCTTTCCACCATGTGTTCTTTCATGACTTTGAAGATTACATTTAATTGCAAAGGCTCTACCACACTGATTACATTCATACGGTTTCTCTCCAGTATGTGTTCTTTCATGGTTTTGAAGATTACTAGGAAATGCAAAGGTTTTACCACACTGATTACATTCATAGGGTTTCTCTCTAGTATGTGGTTTTTCATGCTTTTGAAGATGACAACCATATGGAAAGGCTTCAACACATTGAGTATATTCAGGAGGTTTCTCTCCAGTTTGGTTTCTATAGTTCCTGTAAGGATAATTAGCACATGTAAAAGTTTTACCACATTCCATACAAATGTTGAATCTTTATAGGTACATGAACTAATTTTACAATTTGTTCCAATTTTAAAATAGAAATTAGACATTAAGGTTTTATTACTCTTGAAACTCATGTTGTTTCCCTTCATTAAAGGATGCTTTGAATCTTTAAGGATACCTTTATTACATGGTTCACCTTTAGAGAAACTTTTCCCTACATAAGGGCTATCACACATGTGAAGAGAACTTCAAATTCTCAGTACTGTACTACATTTATAGTTATCCACAAATTTTCTTTTATTCTGAATCATACTACACTTGTTAAGCGAGCTGGGACAACCAGAGGTATTTACACAGTCATAGAACTCATATGGCTTTTATTCAATATGAGCTTGTTGATGGATTAAAAATGAAGCTGGAAAACCAATCACCTGTATACTTGAATGAAATACTGAACGTATGCTCAACGTGAGGACTGCTTGCTACTTATCTTCCAATTGTTCTGTGAGAGAAGAATGTGGTATGGGAGGTCCTTCTGTATATTTGTTGCTTTTATTGGTTAATGAATAAAGAATCCGCCTTAGCCTGTGATAGGGCAGAGTTAAGTTAGGTGGGGAAACTAAATTGAATACTGGGAGAAAAAAAGGCAGCATCAAGTAGATATCATGGACATTCCAGAGAGGAGTGATGTAAGCTGAACACTGGAACCTTGCTGGTAGGCCACACCCTCACAGTAAAATATAAAATAATGCAAATGGGTTAGTCCTAGATGTAAGAGGTAGATAGGAATATGGTTAAGTGATTGGCAAAGCAGTGAATTAAGTCATATAGTTTCTGAGTTATTTTGTGGTATGGACAGCTGGGAACGAATAAGTGGCCTTCTACTACAGGTAAGAGTCCTCCTACTACAGGTCTGTTACGTCTTTGCATATCCCTGTGCTCGTATGACATGTATTCAGAGTAACATATGATACAACTAGTAAAGGAAATATAAAAAATAAAAAAGGTTTACAGATTGAATTTACACAGTTTGACTTTCTGTTCCTCAGAGACTCATAGTGTAGTGATTAAGGTTTCTCTACAACAGCTGCACCTTGACCCTTGATTCTCACTGACCATTTCATTATCATAGCACAGTCACAACTATAAGAGTAACACTAGCTTGACTGTGAAACATTTCCTTATTAGACGGGTTGGAGATATATCTATCTCCGCTTCAATGTGGTATCCTTTGTAACATGAGTAGCCTGAAACAGATGCAATGGGCAGTTCTACAGCACAGCTCTCATGGTACTATGATTTAAACGGTGACATCTATTAAGGCGCTATCCTCTGTCTTCTTTCTTAAAAAATGCCTCGCAGATTCAATTCTCCTACCTAAATGGAGGTATATGGTGTTGCGAGAGTTTATTAATTATCAATGAACTTTAAGCTGTGGTTATTTACACTGTTGCTTTTGCTGAAAACTTCCAGGACACATTACAATTTCTTCAGAGCCACATTTGTATCTGCTTGCACATGAAAATTACCTCTCTTGTCTTCGAGAAATTTGACAATTTTCTTCAGTGTTATGATCTTCCGAGTCATATCCTAAAACATAGTATCAGAAATGTATGTTATACTACAAAAATTGTCTAAAATTTAAGTTACTATCCTCAGTAAACCTTAGAATCATGCCTGATTCATTCACTTCATCCTTCTTCTCTCTCAATCAAATTACAAAAGAACATCAATAATAAAGGAACAGTTGTCCCCTTATTTTAAGACCTGAAGGAAAATCGAGTCTTACCTATACTATTTAGGTTCCTGTAGGTCTCCAGCATCACATCTTTGTAGAGCTCCTTCTGGGAAGGATCCAGCAAAGCCCACTCTTCCCAAGTGAAGTTGATGTGCACATCATCATAGGTCACTGCATTCTAAGATGTAGACATGCATGCTCAGTTTACTAAGTAAACTCAGATCTGCCTTCCTGAAATTATCTTTATCAGCAGACAGTTAATTATTTGGTCAGTGCTTAGGGTAAATACAAGATAACTCCACTTAAGATATTAACAGATAGCCAAAGACACAGAATTACTACTTGACCAGAGTGGCTGAATTATAACTGCTCAGACAGACTGAAGACCCTGGCTGTACCTCACTCAAAAGATACCTAAGGCTTTATGGTCACTCTCACCTCAGATGACTTTAGTTCAGGAAATTTACAGGTTCTGTCTTACTCTCAAGGACAGCAGAAGAGATAATTAACTGTAAATTGGAGAAAAATCCGCAACACCCACGATCAGACTGGCTGATAACAGCCTAGCCCAGAATTAACGATAGAGGTCTGGGTCTCTTCTTTGCTTAGAGCAGTAAGACTAACTCCAAACCTCAGACTGTACAAATTGCAGCATCTTGTGTATGTGCTATCAGATTCAGGAGCCATTAGCTTCCCCATGAACATTTACTTAGGTTGTTTGTTTACTCAATTCTATTCATGCTGGTAGCAGTTACTTTGGGGTCACCTGAAGAAAAAGAGATCACAATTCAGATGCATCACTCACAAGCCAAAAAGATCACTCCAAAAAGATCAATGTGCCTACTGCAACAAAATAGGACACTGGGTCAAAAACTGCCTCAAAGAAGCCCAAACAGAAGAGCAGCTAGGACCAAGACCCTTGTCAGATACTAATATTGCAGAAGGGGCAGAACCGAAAAACAATAGTGATTAGGAGACATGGGATTTAAGCCCCCTCCCAAAACCCAGGGAAACCTTCAATGACTTTATGATAAATACTGGACCCCAACATTCTGTCATGATTCAACCCCAGAAAAAGTTGTCCTCAAAAAATTTTAGATACAGAGAACTACTAAAATAAACCAATACTCTTGGACTACCAAAAGAATGGTAAATGGGTTGGGTATCCCTTTCATTCATTCCAAATTGTCCCATCCCCTGCTAGGGAGTAAGCTCCTCACCAATGTCAGTGCTCAGATAACATTTAACAAAGACAAGGTCACCCTCACTGACCAGACAAGGCAGCCTACCCTAGTTCTCACCTTATAATTAGAAGATGAATACAGACTACATCTAAAACTGCTCAGCACCTCCCTCCCCCCCAGGGCCAGATGGATAAGGGAGTACCCATAAGCCTTTGCTGAGAGAACACATAAGCAGACAAAACACAGGGTACCTGCATTGGTGGAGTTTAAACCTGGCCTCTCCCCATTCTGGGTAACATAGTACCCTATGCCCTAAATAGCCAAGAAAGAGATTACACCCATATTAGGTGATGAGCGAACTTAGGGATTCTGATTCACTGTCAGTCAGTCTGGAATACCCCATGGCTTCCTGTCAAGAAACCTAACTCCACTATGTAGATGACCTTCTGATTGCTGCTGACTCAGAAGAAAAATGCTAGGTGAGTATCAGAGAACTATTTGAAGCTCTAGAAAACCTGGGTTATCAGGTCTCAGCTAAAAAGGCCCAGATTTGCCTAAAGAGAGTGACATACCTTGGCCACATCCTTATACAAGGTCAAAGATGATTCTCAGTGACAAGAAAAAAAGACAGTGATAAAGATTCCTGCCCAACCTTTCAAAGAACAGTCAAGGAATTACTGGGAATGGCAGGAGTCTGTTACTTGTGGATCCCCAGCTTTGCTGAGCATGGTCAAGTCTCTACAAGAAATACTGAACCTATGGCTGCCTCCAAATGGGCCATGATCTACTGCCCAGGCCACCAGAAGGCAAACACAGTTGTTGTCCAGGGGAACAGATTAGCAGACCTAAAATCAGAGAAGCTGCTATAGAGACCACCCTCGTACTAATGCTGGCTTTCCAATCCAAGGACACCAATCCTCTCTAAGCACCCAACATAAACCCCTGAAGAACAATATATGATTAACTGGCTGTCCAAAGCCTGGGAGTTGCAGAGACCTGACAGTTGGTAGAGAAGAAACAGTGGATGCCTCATTTTACCCAGCAAGGTGGCAGAGGAACTCCTCCACCACCTTCACCACTCCACTCATCTGGGAACCAGAAAAACTGAATATTTGATCAGATAACCTCACCTAAAGATAGTTAATTTAAGACATGAACCAACAGATTGTTGAAAACGTGTAGCCTACAGGCTTACCAATACTGACAATAAGCTCAAAAGTCCCAAGTGTTGGGGACTCACTGGAAAATGGACTTCACTGAGGTAAAACCTGACAGATACAGACAGAGGTAATTACATATGATTATTGACAGGATGAAGAGAAGCCTACCCTCCTAACAAGAGACTGTTCCAGTCACCACAAAAATGCTGTTAAAAGATATCATTCTAAGGTACCAATCCTTTTGAGTTCAGACAACAGTCCAGCCTTTGTCTCACAGGTAGATTAACTCTTAACAAAAATGGTGTAGGAGGTCCTTCTTATTTGTGTTGATTTCACTGGTTGAATAAAGAAGCTGCCTTGGCCTTTTGATAGGGCAGCCCTTAGGTGGGTGCAGTAGACAGAACAGAATTCTGGGAGGGAGAAGGCAGGCAGAGAGAGCCACCATGGAGACTGGTTAGACTCATGCTGGTAAGCCACGGCCTCGTGGTGAACACAGATTTAATAAAAATGGGTTAAGCAAGATGTGGGAGTTAGGCAATAAGAGGCTAGAAATAATGGGCCAGGCAGTGTTTAAATGAATACAGTTTCTGTGTAATTATTTCAGGGATAAGCTAGCCAGGTGGCGGGACATAGCCTGCTCCTCCTTACAACAGAGTGGTGCCCCAACATGGTAACGAATTCCACGTAAAACCTGAGAGGACTTAAAATGGAATTCTAGACACAAATATAGAGTTTAGCACAGCTGGTGCTGTGCCATAGCTCCTTTAAGAGAGAACTTCCTGACTCAGCAGCCATAACAACAACAACAACAACAAAAAAGCCACGTCATTTTAAAACGCAGCTTCCTGGGCTGTGCTGCCATTAGAAATGCCAGCTATTAAGCATTTCAATGGCTTTTGTGGGACCGGATGTTTATGTGCCCATCTGGGATCAGGAAGAAAGTACTCTGAGACCATGCCAATGGCTCGCCGCTCCCCACCTGGCAGACAGCTGGATCAGGCTTAGGCAAGCAGGACAGCATGGTGGATTCCTACCACCACACACAGAGATGTTTCCAGCTGTGCAGTGCTCTGTGTGGCAGATTTGGTGGCCCCAAAGCTAACAGAAATGGTATGTTCACCATTTTGAAACTGGAGAGAGGTGGAGCCAACATCCAGTGCAGCACACGGCTCAGAGGCACAAGCGGCTCTGCCATGTTGGACTGGGCGGGGCAAGCAGGCAGTACCTGTATTTGACCTGGGATTGAGCAGCTTAGATTCTTAAGAGCTTAGCATTTTAAAAGCTCTTCAAGATAGTAGAGAATTAAAGACAATGCAATAGGTCAGATTCAGACATAAAAGACCTCGAAATGGGTCATAGTGTTAGAAAGACATACATAAGCTTGGGAGAGAGAAAAAAACAGTATTAAAAAGTCATAAAATAAAGTAAATGCTTTTAAAAAAAAGGGTAAAGTCTTTAAGGAGACAGAGTACAGATAGTCACAGATTAAAAAGAATAAAAAAATAAGCCACATAAAAATGGAAAATTCACAGAGAGCCTGGATTCTGTGTATTATTGTATTTTCTTTGAATTTCTTGACTGTGAAGGAGCTAAATCCAGAGAGATATTTCATTGTGTGGTCTGCTAAGCTAATCCAACATGTATATTATAAAGGTATCTTGACTTTAGAATGTGGGTCTAGGGATATGATGCTTTGGAAAAGAGGTTCTTCTTTTGTTTTCACAGAGGATGAGACCCTGTGAGAATTGCTTCTATCCCAATATGGTCTGATAGACCATGCCCTCCTGAAAGGTTACTGTAAACACCCACAAAAAATTACTTCACCCAACTGAAGACTAAGATAAACCTAGTATATAGGATATACACCATTAAGGACCTGATTAACAGCATCCCCATACAGCATGAAGTAGTTTGGAGAGAAAAACCTACACCCATATTCCCAAATATTGTTTATAAATGTTCTTTTACATTTAAAGGGGATATGATATAGATATGAATAATTTGCATTGATATGGATTTTGCTTTAGTGATATAAATTTAGGGTCAATTTTGTTATATGTATATGTATTTCTGATCTTGATTAAGGTATTGTGATTGTGTAGTTCATTGAAAAATGTAATGTATAATTAGGAAATATAGGTTGTTAATGGATAATCATCAATAACAGTCAAGCTTGTAGTAATGCTAGTTAGATTTTCTAGATATATAGAGATATATTTCAGTTAGATAAGTGTTCTTCATATCTTTCAAGGGCTTTTCATGACAACGAGACACGTCAGTTCCTGGTAGCACCAATCTACTTCAAGAGGAAGGTGGGCATCAAAGAGGCTCCTTATGGAGTTTGATAGACATTTGGGCAAGAAACTGCTCTTGCCTGGACTGTTGCATAAACTGGACATGAAGAACCCACAGAGAGAGGACTGCTGAACTTGCCTAAAGGTAAGATGATCCTTCGGGGTTCCCGATTCATGACAGTTTGTGAGACATTCTGCAGGATACAAAAAAAAGTGACTGAACTGTCTTTGAAATTTCTTGCTTCATGGAAATGTCTGCTGGATAATATGGGCCTGAAGGCCAAAGATGGATGCCCCAATGGTACAAAAAAACTTTGGGTGATTGTACAGGCAGCGAGATGTCTCTGTCAATTCTAGAGTTTTGGAAGTTGCTTACTTCTTGTTTACTTAGGTAATATTATATCCTTCTGGAGTCTTTGATGGAGTTGAAGAATAGATAGTTATAGTTATCATTTTCCTTTGTTATGATAAAAGATAAAATAGATATAAATATTGTAACTGTAACTCTTACTTGATAACTGTTACATTATATGTAATTTTACTATGTTAAAATGAAAGCCTTTCTTTTTTGTTTAAACAGAAAAGGGGAAATGGTGTAGGAGGTCCTTCTGTATTTGTGTTGATTTCACTGATTGAATAAAGAAGCTGCCTTGGCCTTTTGATAGGGCAGCCCTTAGGTGGGTGGAGTAGACAGAACAGAATTCTGGGAGGAAGAAGGCAGGCAGAGAGAGCCGCCATGGAGACGCCATGCTTCTCTTGCCTAAGATGGACACTGGTTAGACTCTTGCCGGTAAGCCACGACCTCATGGTGAACACAGACTTAAAAGAAATGGGTTAATCAAGATGTGAGAGTTAGCCAACAAGAGGCTGGAAATAATGGGCCAGGGAATGTTTAAATGAATACAGTTTCTGTGTAAATATTTGGGGGCTAAGCTAGCCTGCTCCTCTGTACTACACAAAAACACTTGGAGAAAATTGAAAATTACATTGTGCATATGACACCAGAGTTCAGAACAAATAAACAAATGAATAGAACTCTAAAAGAGACCCAACTAAATAACCATAGAGACTGCTGGTAACTGGGTGACTCTCCTTCCCCTTGCCCTCTACAGAATCTTTGTTTCCCATGATTGATGGTTGCCTGTAAGATTGTATTTGAGTAAGAAAATCAAAACTTTTTAAAACAAATTACAAGATGTCAGATTTTTTAAAAAAATCAGTGTATACCTAAAGCAACATGTTTTACTATAATTGCTTTATAAGTTACAAGTACTTTGAAAACAAGTTTATTGCTATTTTAGCATATGTTTGAACATGAAAGACAAACACTTCCATATGTATACAGGTGGCAAACAAAAATAGAGGGGCTCAGATGCCCTGAATCTGGAATAGTAGAGAATTATGAGCCTCCCAACTTTAATGTAGGTATCTGAACTCAGGTAATCCCCAAAAAGATCATGTGCCAAGGAACCTGTCAAGCCCCATAATACCTTTCATCCAATAAGCCAAAAAGTATTTCACAGATTAACAACAAAAATAACAAAACTTAGCTAAATAAAGAAGTAAAGGAGTGATCTTTGGAAACATAATGCATAAAAATTAAAATGTTGTATATGCTAAATTTGCACCACGGAATGAATACAATCCAATAATAATGCCCAACAATTTATAACAGGAAAGCTGATTACAAAGCTGCATTCACAGTGGAAACACTCCAAATGCTCAATGGGATAATGACTACACAGATTCAGCTCAAAGAGCAAAGTTATTCAAAGGCCTGGCCCTGGCTGGGTCCAGGAAGTTGCAAGGACCACAGGGGGCTTCACAGGACAGAGAATCTGGCTGCAGGTTCCACTCAGATCCGGGGAGGACTCACCAAACTGGTTCCCAAACCTCCCTATCTGCTCCACCCATCTGGGGATAGCAGGCCCTCACTCACCATGTTGTGGTTTCCCAGCTCGCCAAAGCTCTCCACTCAGCTCCCTGCAGCAGCAATGTCAGCACAGCACCAAACCCGCTGATGCAGGCTCCTCTTCAAAGTCAACCCGGAAGCCTGAGACCAAGAAGGGCCCTTCACCACTTCTGAGTGGCAGGTCGCCTGGAGGGTCTAATTGGCTAGTGAGGCAAGAGTGAATCTCCCATAAGTTTGCAATATGCTTTCTCCACCCCAAAGACCTTTTCTGGATCTACAAAGATATGCCGATTTGGCCGGGTGGTGGTGGTGCCCACCTTTAATCTCAGCACTCGCTTTTAATCTCAGCACAGGGGGCAGAGGCAAGAGGATCTCTGTGAGTTCAAGGCCAGCCTGATCTACAAGTGCTAGTTCCAGGACACAGAGAAACCCTGTCTCGAAAAACCAAAAAAGAAAAAAAAAAGATATGCAGATTTCAGTAGAGTTTGTTCCTGCCTCCAAAAGCCAATCCTGCCATCTTCCTGCACTCTATAGGCTGGAAGCTTGTCCCAGCTAGCTTGTACAGCCTGTACAGCCCTCTGTACTATGTCGGGTGGAGTGATTCCCTGTCACACTGAAGATGCCAGGAATAAATTACAGAAATAAAGGGTCTCGTCCAGGAATAGAGAAATATAAAGTTGTAAGCCCAAACACATTTTAGGAAAATTAAATAAATTAAGCTGGCAGCCACTGTTAAAACCTTTAACAAAGACTTTCTGCCTCAAGAGCAGACATCTTGACATCCTCTGTATACAGAGGTAAACTTTAAACTCTCCTGTCTCTCAGCTTTCCAGCAAGGCAGGTACTGGGGACAATGGTTAGCTTTTGACTATTGCCTCTATAGGACCCTCTGCTTGTGTTCCCTTCATTTTTAACTGTCCCCCTATGTGACTCTACTCTCTGCCTTGCATTCTTTCAGGGACAAGGAAAAACAGCGGTGTCAGCCACAGGCTTTCACAAACATCATAAGTTAACTCCTATGACCAAAAGACGTAAACCTTAAAATGCAATGTGACTTTAAGCATGACCTCAAGGTTGTACTGTTGGACCCTTGGGTCCAATTATGGAGGGGGAGGAGTTGCCCCAAGAGACCATCTTTTATATCATAGCTGATGTAAAAGCATGAGGATTTTATTAATTCTGTCATGACAGGGTCCTCCAGCAGTCGGGAGGCTAGAAGACCCCGAATCGCTGGTACAGGCTATTTTTAAAGCAATAAGCCACAGAAGGAAGGGGGGGGGGTGTCTGGGGGTTGTTCTTTAATTATTATGATTGGCTTATTTAAAAAGGCTATTTATCAGCCAGAGCTGATAAACTTTGTGTGCCCCATTGAGATTTTTTTTTTTTTTGCAATAAAGTTTGCTTTTGGATTAAAGGACTTTGGTGGTCTGTTCCCCGTCTTTGCACAATACCTGGACCCAGCAACAGAGGTGGAAGGGTGCCAGGATATGAACAACTACAGAGAGATTTAAGGACACAAAGGACATGCTAGTTATGTGTCTTCACACTGAGATCAGGTGAACTGGAGGTACTATTTCTCTGGTTCTCACAGGACATCAAACAACCAGGAAAGAAAAGCAGGAACTAGATCACACACAAAAAAGTCTTTCTCCCATCAGAGAGTTGAAAGATGGCTCCACTGCTTCAGAAGTTTTATTCCTGAAATTTAGAACAAAATGTTGGCAAATGGATAATAACAATAATAAGAGCAGTCTTCATGAAATGTTGAGTCCTGCGAGAATGATGGGGCTAGGAGGAGTGTCTTTATGAGCACCACAGTTATCCAGCACTTCTTCCTCCCTGGGTAGGAGAAGAAAAAAGACGCAGCTGCAATATTCAAGGCTATCTACATGAGCAGGACTGGCAGAATGACTCTCTCCATATATGTAGAAAGTGATGGATTTATTAGAATGTCTAACAAACTGTGTAGGCAGAGAATGCACATTCTTTTCACAGCCGTCCAGATCCGAGTAATAAGACAAAAACTATATTAATTACAATATTGTTTGACCAATAGCTGGGGCATATTTATAGCTAACTCTTACATTTTGGGCTAACCCATTTCTATTAATCTGTGTACCGCCATGATGCTTTGTCCTACACATAAGGTTCTGGCTGGCAACTGATGTCTGTCTCCTTCAGCTGCTACATGGCGTCTCTCTGACTCTGCCTATTTTCTCTCTATATGTCTGTTCAGATTACACACCTGGCTTTACTCTACTAAGCTGTTGTCCAAAACAGCTTCTTTAATAAGCAATGGTAATAAAACATATTCATAACATACAGAGGGGAATCCTCCATCAAAGGTGTAGTCTAGTGCAACCTGTGCAGCACCCAACTCCAGAGTCCAACTCCTCCTGGTTGGCAATTCATTTCTCTCCATCACTGAACATCTGGATGCCTTCTTTATGGTTTTATTTTGTTTTTATTTTATAATTTTCATTCTTCAAAAAGAAAAATCTCCTCTAACACAGTGGTGGGCTAAATTCCCTTCCTCCCCCAAAAGATGCTCTCATTGAATTCTTTCCTGTGCCTTTTATATAAGCCAGAGCTCTGTCTTCCCCCCCACCGCACCCTCCCGTCCCTCCTTATTCACTAAAGGAAAGATTGACAAAATCCCTTAGAAGATGAGTAAACAAGCGTGTGCTGATATGTCCCTCCCACTCTACCTTCCCAATTGAGAGTGTCCCTGTTAAAACTGCAAGGATCATGACCAATCAATTTGCCTGGAGAGCCCTGGCCACCTAGCCTTCCTCTACATTGACATTTCTCTCCCTTCTTCACTCCAGCTTCCCTACCCCCTCTTCTTTTTCTTTGTTTTAAAGAAAACAATCCTTTTACTATTTATTTATTTATTTTTGGTTTTCAAGACAGGGTTTTTCTGTGTAGCTTTTGTGCTGTTGGGGTTGGAGAGAAAAAACCAAGAACAAAGACAGAAAAATATAGTCAACTTTTAACCAAAAGACTTGACCAAGCAAAAGTGTGATCTTGACCAATGCTATGCAGCTACCCATGATTGTATGTGTATATAACACATAAATAAACACACACTTCAAAGTTCCACAAAATTAATTCAAAATGATCTTTAAAAATGTTGTTTCTGACCCTCCAGCTATTTCTTCCAAAGACATAAACTACATGTTCTAGAGTTCTCAGCAAATGCAGGCTGCTATGACTCTGTAGCCCCTTATGCCTTCTTCTGGTTTCTGTTAAATGCAGTCCCTGATGCCCAATTCCAAAACAACATAGAAGAAAATGAAAATCTGCTTCCTGCCACATGCATGATGGCACAAGATATGAATTCGGCCCTACCTATCTGCCCAACACCATGCACACCTGAGAAACCGCTGCAGATCAGAAACACCTTTTCTCCCCTGGAACTAAACTTCAATGAACCACCCTATTTCACCTGGTGGTAGCAGAAAGTTAAAAGCAATCTAAACCCGTGTTGCTGAAAGATGATCCACATCACTATCTTTCTACCATTTTCTAAACAATTTGTAACATTTCTAAGGCAAACCTGAAAAAGGAATCAATATTCAGAACATCTAGAAAGCAGACCTTCAGTTATCTAATCTGCCCTCCCACTGCACAGCAAAAGCAGTGTCCATGTGTGCACACTGAACAGTGATACTGCAAGCATCGTATCCTCCCGTGCCAGGGCTGCAGAGTCTCCCTCTCCCAAGGAAATTCATAAACAGGGAGATTCAGAGGACAAGGCCATTTCCCAACTCAACACATGCACCAAAGAACCACAGTCTGGATCATGGTTGATCCAAGTCCCAGCGGGAATGACAGCTCAGCAGACCTGCTCTGAGCACACTACACACACCACACCAATAGCAGAGGCAGAGGACAATCCCAGGAAAAACCCACCAGCTTTCTGCCACTAGTATTCCTGATTGCTAAGCCTTCCCAGAATCCTTCATTGGCTAAGCCACCCAGCTGCATCTCAGTATATTAGCAGCTCCCATACTGGGTGATCAGATCAAATGACTCAGACAGCACAGTGCTTCCAGCTCTGCCCTTCCAGCCCAGAAGACAGCACCCTAGTCTAGAAAGTGTGTATGTTAGTAGACATTCTTGCTCTCTCCTAGAGCACACCCTGTTCCTCATGCAAAGTACTGGGCCCTTTGTGTGCACCTTCCACTATACACTCAATGTCCAGTGCAGTCCACCTTTGCCTCAGAGCTGGGAAATCCTGCAGACAAACACAGGTCACATTCACACAGAAACTGTTGTTACTGTGTAGCTGTTGTTAAAGAATTACAGACCATGAACTAGAAAACAATAAGGGATCACCGAGGGCATGGAGGCCGGAAAGAAAATGTGATTATCTTGTAGTTATAATCTCAAAAATTATTTTGAAAAGCTGAAAAAGGCTTTATGATCATGTGCTCCAGAGATTGGGGATTTGTATTAGGGCACACCAAAATTTCTCATAAGTTTTATCTAAGGATGAACATGTTAAAACATAAAAATAACAGTCCTGTTAGGCAGGGCCACAACATTTTACCCAGATCTTCTATTTTGGTTGAACTATTATAACTATAGTAAACTGGTTTGGTTTCACAAGATGGTCAGACTTTGCCCAGATTCTTGATTGCCTTGCTCTGTGGATCACAAGAAATGTCCAAACAGGACATTCATGGAGCACCTAAAATTGATTACCTAATTCCACATTTCTAATCTCAACTACTGTTGAAGGAGGAAAGCTCTCACCCTCCGTCCTGCCTCTCCCTTTCTGGACTGTGACTTCACCAGCTTCAAAGTTGGTCAATGAACTCAATTCTTGCACAGGTGTCTCTTCATCTATAAGTCCCCAATAAAAGCCAGAGTGATTGGAGGTCACTCATTAATTAGTCCATTTTTCCTTCTTACTGACTAGTCAAGGCCCAGCCTGAAATGAATTTCCCAGCACTGGACACCAGAGGCAGGATTAGCTGTTCATAGCAATTCTCAATTACATAGCATAAGACAACCCTATGATATAGGAGATAGTGCTCTCCTCAGAAATCAATAATCAGCATCACTTGGGAGAAAGGAATAAAACTATATTAATGACCTGGAAACTTTGGAAAACAGAAATACAGAGATAAGAGCAATACTGCACTTAAAGAACTTATTTAAAAAAGAATTTAAGTGATTTTTCAAATGATATATATATATATATATATATATATATATGATTTAAAAAAACCTTAGCTATGTAACATGAGGGCCTGCTTGAGAGGGTTTCTGTCCTGCCTGGTTCCAGCAGTCATTATATCCCCAAAGAAAATCACACAGAGGTCTCCATAAGATTATAAACTGATTGGCCCATTAGCTTAGGCTTCTTATTAGCTCTTGTAGCTTATATTAACCCATTATTCTTATATATGTTAGCCATATCTCTCAGTACCTTTTTCAGCGGGGCAGATCATCCTGCTTCTTAGGTGGTCTGAGCAGGACTGGGAGGAATGGGCTTCCTCCTTCCTAGAATTCTCCTGTTCTCATTGCCCCACCTCTACTTCCTGTCTTGTTGACCCGCGTATACTTCCTGCTTGGCCAATCAGTGTTTATTTAAAACACGATTGACAGAATTCAGACAATTCTCCCGCACCATATGTAGATTTTGAAAAAGAATAGGTTCTTCCCTAGTAGACGAAATGTCATTAATAAGAGCTAGATTGTGATGTTGTCCATACGCATATGTTGGCTACTGAGATCTGTAGCCTGACACAGAGAGTCACAGTCAGTGGCCTGTTACACAAATCTCTGGAGCTGACATAACAGTGTCGAGCAGGATTAACATGAACGCATAGGATAGTAGCCTAACTGCAAATTCAAAACTCACTGGCTGAAGATAACATTCCAGAAACGTTCACTCACACAATCTGTCCGTGTTCAATCACTTGACATGAATTAAAACATGCAGAGAAATTACAAAATCACCACCCCTACCACAACCAGGTTCTTTGTCACAATGTTGACTCCAGCAGCTGATTGCCTACCCCGTGTCCCCTGCAATGCACAGAGTAAACTCTTCCTTCCATTTTGTCTGAGGACAGAAGCAGTGCTCCACATGCAAACCCTTTTCCTGTGACTGCACTGGATAATCAACGACATGACTCAAATGGATGATTTTCATACTCTGAGGTGGTACAGTCATCTATATAAGAGTTTTTAACATTAATATAGTATAGAGGACAGCAAGGCCATTGCCCTGGAGAGCAACAAACTGAAACCAAGGCCACCTGAGTCAACAGAAGAGACCCTGTCTCAGGAATATTTGTCTACCAGGATCAAAATGTAGCTGCTCAGAACTAATTTGCCTTCCCACTGAGAAATCACTTCACACACTTAGCAGATTACTAGGAAAACTCTCTTTAAGGATGGTACGCATCCATCTCTGGCTAATCTGGCTAGAGGAGCCGCCTTAGACAGGTTCAGCATTCCATATCCTTAAGTGTCTTTTAGGTTTCAGGCTCCACGTTACACTTTGAACAATTTCAACAGAGACAGGCAACTGGCCGGTCTACACACTTAGGCAGATAGAAGAGTTACACAGCAAAGATAGTCCCAGAATAATTTCTAAAATAAGTCAGTGACTTGAAACAGAACGTTGTAAGGTGAAGGTCACAAGGGATGAGAAAGACAGGGCCAGAAGAAGGTAGAAAAGATAAAGCTGGGATGGCGAGGTCTGTTCCATGCAGTTAGCCTTTTTACAACCTGCACAAAATTTAACTATAAATGGATCTTATACTGAAAGGTTAAATGCAAAGTGCTGAACCTCTAGAACGTACTGGAGAAAGTAGGCGTCTCGGAGTTTGGCATCCAGTTATCCATGGAGACACCAAAAGCATGTTGAGTTGATTACAAAGAAGTTTCTACACACGGCTCCCTGATCCCCATGCTCTGAGCAGATTCAAATCAAAGAGCAAAGTTATTCAGAGGCCTGGCCCTGGCTGGATCGAGGAAGTTGTAAGGACCAGGACCACAGGGGGCTTCACAAGACAGGGAATCTGGCTGCAGATTCCCACCCAGATCCGGGGAAGACCCACTAAACTGGCTCCCCAACCTCTCCATCTGCGGATAGCAGGCCCTCACTCACCATGTTGTGGTTTCCCAGCTGGCGAACGCTTTCCGTTCAGCTCTGCAGCAGCAATGTCAGCACAGCACCAAACCCGCTGATGCCGGCTGCTCTTCAAAGTCAACCCGGAAGCCTGGGACCAGGAAGAGCCCTTCACCACTTCTGAGTGGCAGGTCGCCTGGAGGGTCTGATTGGCTAGTGAGGGAACAGTGACAAGAGCACCTCCCATAAGGTTACAGTACACTTAAAGAAGCAGCGCTGTGTTTCCTGGCCTTGCCCTCCACCCCAGACGGAGACATTTTCTGGCTCTGCAAAGATATGCAAAGTTCAGTAGTGCTTGTTCCTGGCTCCGAAAGCCAACCCTGCTATCTTCCTTCACTCCATAGGCAGGAAGCTTCCCAGCTAGCTTGTACAGCCCTGTAGTATGTGGTGTGGAGTGATTCCCTGTCACACTGAAGACGCCAGGAATAAATTACAGAAATAAAGGGTCTCGTCCTGGAATAGAGAAATATAAAGTTGTAACCTCAAACACATTTTGGGGAAATTAAATAAATAAATAAATAAACAAACCCGGCAGCTACAAGTAAAACCTTTAACAAAGACTTTCTGCCTCAAGAGCAGACATCGTGACATTCTCCGTATACAGAGGTAAACTTAAAACTATTGTCTCCTGTCTCTCAGCTTTCCAGCAAGGCAGGTACTGGGGACAATGGTTAGCTTTTAACTATTGCCTCTATAGGACCCTCTGCTTGTGTTCCCTTCATTTTTAACTGTCCCCCTATGTGACTCTACTCTCTGCCTTGCATCTTTCAGGAACAAGAAAAAACAGCCGTGTCAGCCACAGGCTTTCACAAACATCATAAGTTAGCATCCTATAAGCAAAAGATGTAAACCTTAAAATGCAATGTGACTTTAAGCCTGACCTGAAATTTCTACCTGCAACAAGCTTCATGTTTATTGGACACTAAGTAATGGAATAAGTTTCTCTGCCCGACTATTAACAATTCCTTTGTGTAGACAGTTTCTATTCAAAATGTTTCATTTTATGTCCAAGTATAATAATGTAAAGGCCAATGCAGGCAGGACTAACTGAATGTGCAGTGAGACAATAGTCCTCTCAGTATCCACTACCTGAGAATGGACTAGTTACTAACTTATGCATAAATCACATGTATTCTTGGTAGAGACTTGTGTGATAGGCATGGCCTACCAAATTCAATCAAAACCAATCTGAAACATGCATGCATGGTATTGTGTACCCAAGTTCAAAGGAACTCTTCCTTCCTTTTTTTGAACATTTCTAGAATCATCCATGCATCTCTCTCTCTCTCTCTCTCTCTCTCTCTGTGTGTGTGTGTGTGTGTGTGTGTGTGTGTGTGTGCTAGATATGAATTAGGAATGTCCAAAATGGCTGGAAAAAAGCATGGCAGAGAACAGTCAGACCTGCAGAGGAACTGAATTTGACCCCTTCATTTCAATTCGGAGGCTCACATCTGCCTGTATCTTCATCTACAGGGCATTTGATCCCCTAGTTTGGCATAGACAGGCACATGTACTCATATATGAACACCACACACACACACACTATTAGCCATCACAGTGAGCCTAATGATACTTTTCCTTATTATTAAATTGCCATATACTTATTGTATTATTAAATAATGTTCTCCATCCTCTTGACTATAACTTAGTATTTTCAGAAATGATCTAGATCCTATCTTTTCATAGAATGTAAGTTTTTCTCAGAATTCTGGATTTAATAATTTTCTTCATTTCAAAACTCAGAATTCATATGTGATTTTAGCTGTGCTGAATGACAAACATGATGGGTGTTTGCCCTTTGGTGTTCCACATTTCTCTGGAACAATTTCTCCTTGAGAACTTCCTGAAAATATTGGGAGTAGACATCGGGCGCTTGTTGTAGAAAAGCCCACAGAGCCGCAATCACTCTGTGAAAGCTTCAGGAGCGATTCAACCGACTTTGTGATAGGGAGGCTTCCAGGCAAGAGGACAGTGGCTGCCAAAGTGCAGGGATCTTCTTCATGAAGAAGGGGCCCCAAGGATGACCCCAGTTCCCTAATTTCACAGAGTTGCCAATGCTAGTAAGAGAGCATGCGTACACATCCTGTTATGACATTGTGGGGAATTACTGAGACACACTGTAAAGGGAAACTACACCCGCACATGTCGTGTGCTCCGGGGAAAGCCTGTGTGAGGAGCGTGGCACACTCCCTGTTGTCTTTCTTTTTCTTCCCCGGTCCATGAGACAAACAGGACCTGGGGTCTAAGAAATGTTTGCTTGCTGCTTGTTTTTTCCGTTCCTTCTCTCCTTCCTTCCCTTTCTCCTTCCATCCCTCCTTTCTCCTTCCTTCCCTCCCTCCCTTCCTTCCTTCCTTTCTTACTTTCAATCATTAAAAACAATGACTTGACTTAACACCCAGATCTCTGCAGGATGAAGCCATGGCCAATTTTCCAGGATTACATAGCACTGAGGACATACCAACAGAGGGCAGCATACATAAACTACACAGAGGCCTACATTTTGCTCTCTTTGATAGTGTAAGAACCCTATGCACCTTTTGCATTTACTCTAAGTTATATATTCACATCTGAAGATTTAGAGCTAGGAACTGCAGGTGAAAGAAAACAGGTGAGGTTTGTTTTTCTGTGTTCCTGTTTGCTCCCACAATATATTTTTTTCCATTTCCACCCATGTCCCTGAAAAGTTCATGACTTCATTTTTCTTTATACACGAACAGTATTCCATTGTGCATATGTATCACAATTTCATTATGCATTCATCTTTTGAAGGGTATTCCAGTTGCTCTATTTCCCACGTGTGTGTGTAGAGCAACAGTGAACATGGCTAAGCAAGTGTCTGTGGAGTAGAGCCTAAAGTTCCTTGGGCCTATGACAAGGAATTGTACAGCTGGGCCATATGGTAGATTTCTCTTTTTTCAGAATTCTTCCGAGTGGCTTCTCCAGTTTGCATTCCCACCAACAGTAAATGAGTTTCCTTGACTTCCCACACTTTGGCAAGCATGTAATGTCCTTTGCTTTGTTGAAGGTGGCTGTTTTGAGTGGGGTAAGATGAAATCACAAGCTTGTTTTGATTTGCACTTCCAAAATGACAGAGAAGTTGAACACTTTTTGAGATATTTCCTACTCAAAACTATCTTGTTTAAGTCTTCCTTGAAGATTGTATCATAGTGACTTTCATAAACAAAAAGTTAGAAAACTGTACACATAAAAATCTATATGTACGTATATTCATGTTTATACAAACAAATATTTCTCAATAAATACAACTGAAAATAAGCAAAATGAAAACAATGATTTAGTTACATTTAGGGAACTGAGTCTAGAATTTAACATAATGTAACTCTACACATTTTCTTTAAAATGTATCCTGTTGACTCTCCTGTTCACCTCTGTGTATCCTGCTGACCTCTGAATCTCCTGTTGACCTCTGACTCTCCTGTTGACTTTTGACTCTCCAGTCCACCTCTGGGTATCCCGCTGACCTCCTCCTACCCTGCTGACCTATGTTCTGTCAGTGTTTGACCTGTCACAGGAGAAGCCTATTTACTGACATGGATATTCTTTTTTTTTTGTCATAAACCGATTAGCACATTAGCTCGGGCTTCTTATTAAACCTTATAACTTATATTAACCCATTATTCTTATCTATTTTAGCCACATGGCTTGGTACCTTTTGTGGGGGCAATCACATCTTCTTCTGTGGCTGGGACAGGACTGCAGAAGAAACTTCCTTCTTCCCAGAATTCTCGGGTTCTCCTCTACCTGCCTCTACTTCCTGTCTGGTTGTCCCACTTATACTTTCTGCCTGGCTACTGGCCAAACAGCATTTATTTAAAATATAATTGACAGAATACAGACCATTTTCCCACACCACCTCCCCTTCTTTTTTTTTAAAGCAAGAACTCTGAATCTAATATCTCTTGTTTATCTTTTCTCCGATCATTAGCCATAACAATTTGTAACCAACATTCTAAACAAAGGAAAATATCCATAGCCCATTTTTTGGGAATGTGGGCATAGTTTTCCAGGCTACTTCCTGCTGGTTGGGATCATTGATCATCTTATGGGGACCTAAAGGAAATTTAGAATTATGATTAAGTCATAAGTGGAGTATCCTGTGAGGCTTGATCATCTCAGGCAGCAGTCTCGAATCTGTTCTGGATGTAAAACTCAGACATCTGGGCCATCTGTTCCTACCGGAGATCTCAGGTGGTCTTCCTTGTTCCAACTTGATTTTTCTTAACTCAGAATAAATCCAAAACTTCTCATTTTCTGTGGAAACAAAAGCAAAACCTCTTCTCCAAAGTAGCATATCTTTTGACTTCAATTTTGAAGTCAAGGCATTAACAAAATTTTTGTTTTATTAATCTAGCAGCATGTACATTTAAATTTGTTTTAGCAGCTGTTGCTCCTTCCTCAGCTATCAAGCAGTTCAAAGAGAACATAATCACATACAATGTCCAGACACTCTGTGTATTTTTTATCTTTATGTGGCTCTAGTCTAACCTCTATTTCTTTTATTTTTAATTTTTGGCTTTTGGAGACAGGTTTTCTCTATGTATCTTTGCCCTGGAACTCACTCCATAGACCAGGCTGTCCTTGAACTCAGAGATCTGCCTGCCTCTGCCTCCCAAATACTGGGATTGAAGGCATGTGCCACTACACCTTGAACTTGCAGAGGTCTGCCTGACTCTGTCTCCCAAGTATTGAGATAAAGGTGTGTACCACCACACCCAACTACTCTCTTTCTTTCTTTTTTATTTTAAGGACTTTAACCTTTTTCTTATTTCTCCCAATCCTGCATAAATTTTTATCACAGTGTAAATCATTTAGAGTTTTCTTCATCTTTGAATCTCTCTTTACTGTATCTCTCTCTCTCTCTCTCTCTCTCTCTCTCTCTCTCTCTCTCTTATTTTGACCACATGATTCTTTAATTTGCTAAGCAATATGGGTAGGATTAAAGCCATGACTTTGATGGCTGGATCCAGTCCATTCTTTTGCACTCTGAGATTCCAGCCTCATGGCAGAGGTACCGGCCGGAGCCATGTTTATTGCCACAACTCTACAGCGTTTCAAGGTCCCTGCCACCACCAAAAAGCATGTGGTTAGCTTTTCATCAACACCATTTAAGTTTTTCGTGGCAGGACAT